TGACACCTGAATTTATAAAAAGTTGCACAAAACGTGGGACGTGAGTAATGTCTCAAAGATATTCATTTTAATTTAAATTTTAATAGAACATTACCAGATTTAGATTGCCACAATATTATCTTACAGTATTCTTTGTGTTATTACATACGTGAAGAAAGAGTGTAAGACAGTTTTGTGTTCCAAACATTGCTTAGATGTATTTTTACATCGTATGTATTTATTAAATGTAAGGCTAGGGTGTTGGTAGTAAGTATTAAGGGCAGTGGTTATTGTTGTCTGGCTTTGAGTATGGGGCTGTGTTGTTTGGGGTGTGGTGAAAAAGTGTGGTGTGTGGTGTATGTGCATATGTGGGTTTCGGTGTATAGGATAAGCGTGACGCGAAAAGTGGGTTCTACTCCGTTTGGTTGTGAGTGTGGTGTGGATTGTCGAGGTGTATGTGGGGTGGATTGTGTGGGGTGCTGTGCTCAGGACGGGGTTGTGTTGGTTTTGGTGTGACCCTTATTATCTGCTTAACATGGCTTCACTTGTTTGCCCTGTCTGGTGATGCTCAAAATTGCTTTCAATTTTATTCCTGTCACGTGATCGTGCCACCTAAGTAATTAGCATCCTCGCCTACTCGCTGATTGTAAGATCTATTGTTGTAGGAGTCCTCCAATCAACCTACCATGTTGCACTAGACACGTGACACTATTGTTTTATAAATTAGCATCTTTTCCTACTCGTTCCCACACGTGCTATATTTTATCGTTCTACGATCAATCTTAGATCAGTGAGGTAGAATTTTAACCTTTGAAGTTAGTAACGTCAGCAAAATGTTCACAACTTAGCATACATTAAAATTAATGAGTTGTTTAAAATTACAAATGCTGTTTACGACCGCAAATGAGTTGTCATAGCAGAGCTTAAATACAATATATTTGTTTGGGTGGTGAATGAATCATTTTACAACTCAAAGTTTTGAATTTTTAAAAGTGCTTAATCTTTTAACAAAATAAGTGAATTTGGGATAATTCTATTCCAAATGTAGAATTTTAAACACAAAAACAGTAAGCTCGTTCAGATATTTGCTAATAGTTGATTTAATTGAAGAGCATACGAATTTATCTGATATTTATCGATGACACAAATACAGATAAAAGTGAACGGTTGTCCTCAATTTTTATTTTCGCTTGTTTACATTTTTTAAAAAAATACTATTAAAAATAAACCGGAGTGATCTCCCCTAAACTTTCTCGAATATTCTAATATAACACTACGTGGGATGGCAACTCGGAATATAGACTTGATTTTTGCTTACTTAAACTTTTAAAAATAGAATAAAATCTAGTAGAAAAAAGAATTGCGCACCAAGCGAACGCCAATACAAAATGTGCATAATATTGCGCAATATTATTAGTACTTTATAAATTTACCTGCGCTTTTTGAGAAATCGGAAATAGCGTAAATTAGTACTTCCGTTCAACGCAAATTACTCAAAATTTGACAAACGTTAGATAATTAGATCTTTAACTTACAAGTGAAATTTCATTTATCTATCTGACATAGTGATCAAGTTATAGGCTTTTGAAAAATTAAATGTAGAAAAAGTACCATTTCCGGTTATCGGAAATCACTCAAAAGTTGATACGGATCTACGATTTTGATAAAATACATATATATTAAATTTCATCAACCTAGCTGTAACGGTACTCAAGTAATCGTGTTTACACACAGCCACAAACACACAGACACACAGACATACGGACAAGATTGCAAAATGTTTTTCCGTATCAGTGAGATGTAAAACAACAAGATTTGTAAAAATGTCGATTTTTTTGCACGATTACAATACTTTCTCTATACTTCTTATATACGAGAAAGTAAAAAAGAACTTTAAATAAAAACCCACGGGAAAACCCAACTTTATACACACAGCTTGAGAGGAGAACTTATGCAAGATCCGTTTCACTATAGCTGTGTAAAAATGATAACTCAAGAAATAAGCCAGAACATATTTATACATTTTAGGTAAAAATGTGGTTTTTATTTAGTTTTTATTTAATCATTCGAAAATGGATACTAAAGTAGGCATTGAAAAACTATGTATCTGATAACAAGCAAATACAAACTTCCCAATATTAAGTCAAGGTAAATAATCGATTTTTAATATTCCTCCATGAAACGTGGGTGATTTCCCTTATCCCTAGCTTCTCCTACTCCAGCTGTTCTTCCGAATTTTCTATTTCACCACTTTTTTTTTTAGCCTAATAGAGCTGGTAAAATACGAAGCCTGACTGTCAATGTGTTTTAAAGTTGTTTTTTAATTGTTGACTCTTTACAATGCACTAAAGCTTAGCGATTTTCTAATGAATTTAAACATTTAAGAAACGGTTAATTTAAAAAAAAAATTATTATTAATATTTCAAAAGGTAACAACAAATACAAGTAAAATGTATGTATTAAGTAATGTAAAATACAGTCACTATAGTTGTACATACTTTTTAAAAAAATCTACCGAATCTAAATTAATAATACACGTATACACGATCTTGTTATCTTAAAGAGTTAAAGACATATTTTTCTCTATCAAAATACGGAAAAACTTTTAAGAATTTAATGTTATCTTTTCCATGATTGTGATTTGGATGTAGATTTTACTATATAACCTTATAATTTGGTTTGATTAGCATTTAGTGTACCCTTACTGTCATTTTCTACCACACTACCGTTATCTTGTTGTATTTACCCACACTATCATTCCCTAGTTGTATTTAACTACACTAACATTTTCTAGTTTTTTTAACCACACTATCATTTTCTTGGTGTATTTAACTGCACTATTATTTTCTCTAGTTGTATTTAAAAAAACACTTCCATTTTCTAGTTGTATTTACGCACACTATCATTTCCTACCTGTATTTACCAACATCATATCCAGTTATTCAAACCCTTGTATCGTGGTTTTTACATTAATTTAACATAGAAATTGATGTGCGCTCGTGTTTTATTTCAGTGATTGCCCATTTATAAATTTATTCAGCGGGTAAAGTAAATAAAATAAATAAACAGTGCAAGAAAATGTGTTTTTTCAAAAATATTCAAATAACTACAATAACATTGTAAGAAGTAAAGATAAATTATATTAACTAAATATAATACTTTTGAAAATAATCATTTATATAATCAAATATTACAAAAATGATTGGGAAAGTCCAATCTTCTTTAAATTGAACTATTTATTACAAAACAATTATTATATACAACAATGAAAGCAGCTTCCTTTAGGAGAAATAATAACCAGTAAGTTGTTGCTTTAAGTTACGATAAAATAATACATCAATTTGCTTTTTCGTTGGACAACTCCGAAAAAATGTACACAATTTAACACAAAAAAAACAACATTTCAGTTTATAATAATTTACATAAATCATTAAGTCGATGGAGCATGTTTTTATTTTCTTATTTATGTTTGTATCCTGCCTACTACATGATATATACATTAATCTATGAGGTTATAATTAGCCCAAACATAACATATATAAGTGTTAATTAGGAGAGATTTAACTGTACCATAATTCATACAATTAGATACAATATCATTTCAGTGGGTACTTTGCTTAGAAGGATTAATTATTTAAGTGGAACTTATTTTGCCAATGCTAGTGTAAAGTTAATGTTATTTCTCTATTTATTTTACAATTGATTTTTAATCCATTGGCTTCCATTAATTGAAACAGAAACACGAACGATATTTTGAAATTATAAATGTTTTCAATGAAATACAGTTTTTAAAAAAATTAAGTAAACGTGCATAAACCATTATTATGTTGAGCTGTTTGTTTTAAAAACTTTATCTGTAGATTTGTAACTTTATGTGTCTCTTTCAAGTAAAATCCAAATTAAAGAATAAAAGTTATAAAACATACGTTTCATAATAATGAAATCAAATCAAACTTTAATGAAATATCACATAAATAAAACCAAACAAAAAACAAGTTTTACACAAATGTCTATTAAATAACCTATCAAATTACACGTGAATTTTAAAATTGTGTACTGTAAACAAAGTCCTTTATAAAATTAATATGCCGATGGAGCTGAAGATGCGGTACAAGCATTTTAAAACGTCCCTTAACTTAAATTTAATGTTCTATGAATTGAAAATAAACAGCCATACAATATATTTATCTGATGACGGTACAAAATTCAAACTAAAACTAGCATGAAAGTGATGTTTTGTAGCTCAAACATTTGTTTTTTTCTTTGTCAAAGAACATGTGTCTCCGTCACTTGCGATCTTAAATTAAAAGAGATCTTTATGACAACATTCAGAATGTATTATTAGACGACTGACTTTATTTTCTGTCTATACCTATCGCTGTTGTTTTTTATAATAACAGATGCATGCTGCATCAGAAAGAAAACAAAAACATAGATTTAATATATGTCAAAAATCATCACCAACGGTGAAGTAGAACACCTTTCGTCAACTTCCCAGGTGTTCGAAACTCACGGGGCTCTCGAGGGAGCCACCAGTCGAGGTACCGAAGTGTTCCAGGGTGCCGTCCAGTTTGTGTTTGCCAATAGACTATCGCTGCCTACAACGCACTCAGGTAGGGCGCTCTTTATAACAGATATAAACGCAACTATGTAAAGGGGGGCCCAATGAGCGATGGATATCCTGGTACAGCTTGCACCCCTGCCCCATCTGCTGGACGACCAATCACCTGACCCCAGTTTGGATGCCGTGGGGAAACTGATTTATTTTAAAGGTATTGGCAAATCTCCTCCCCCCTTAAACAAGTGTAACATCTGGACGAAATGCATATGTACTTTAACAGAATACCCCTCCACTCCACCTACCCGCCTCCCGGAAAAAAATCTCAATGTACTACGTCGCAGTATTCGTAATGCAACACATTTTTAGTTTTAAAAATGTAAAACATGCAATTATAAAACCATGAAACTAAAGGTTACAACTTTTTAAAATGCCTATATAATAGATTAAAAGTAAACAGCATAATAAATACATGAAATGAAAATTTGAAGATCATAATGATGTTAAATTGGTCTAAATTTCATTTCACTGAATGTTGCGATAGAATTGGGATTCCAGTACAAATTAGCTGTACCCCAAACAGCGTTTAGATGACAGCTTAAGCAGTCTCGAAACCACCAGGCTCCTTTAGAGGTTAATGCACAGTTATTAGTATTAAATACGTCGTTATCCCGGTCAAATGTTGTAAACATCATACCATTGTGGTAAGATAGTCTTTCCATGGCATCTCCTGTAAAGCCACCAACATGTAGCCTGTAGCCGTCTGACTCGCTAGAAATGTTGAAGCTGGAATATTTTGCGAAATATTTTTTTTCATTGAAGATCATATCCACTCTCAGTTCTGTTTGACGGTTTGATGTTAAGAGATAAATGTTCTCATTGCCCAGGTAAAAATTACCTAAACTAAAATCACCAAACCCATTTTTGTATTCCGTCCAGTTCCTGTAAAAATCTACAGTCCCAGAAACACGTCTTTGGAAAATGGTCCATCCTCCACCGTCTGTCACTGTGTCACACATGACCTGAAGTCCAGAGCTAAGGGTCACCAAAGGTCGGATCTCGCTCTGGCCTATGATATAAAATGTCCCTTATTATTTGGTTCGTTTTAAACAGACGATTGAAAAAATAGAGAACAAGGAAAATATGTACAAATTGATGAAGTATCTACAGTACATTAGGTAATCTTAATTAAAACATTCATTTGTTAAAATGTTTTTGTTAAGAAACTAATAGTAACTATCAAATGCAAAACATAACAATACATCGTGTACACGTTATTGAAATTCATCAGCAATGACAGAGACAATATATTATTACAACACCTGTACAAAACAGCCGGTCTGTATCTGAGATGGAACCATCAGACAGGACCGTGATGTTTCTGGTTGTGTTACAGAACTTTCCACTAGAGAAAATTTTTCCCTCAACTTTTTTTTGTGAAGCTTTCAGTGGGACTAGCCAGGAACCTGTGACATCAGACAAAATTTACACATTGAATATTAAGATGGGCATCCTTTATCAAATAGTTGTAAGTTAAAGTTCACATAACTCTGAAAGTTTTTAATTCACGCAGCATTCACCCTTTTACTTGAATTATTATTATCTACCACGCAGTTTTCCAGAAGTAAAAACGCTTTAAAAGTACCTAAAAATTCTAAAATTGCTGACGTTTATTCTTGTCTTCATGGCAACCAAAAAATCAAACCCCTTTTTAATGTTTAATACTTTTTTAATGTGTCAAACAAGTAATTACTTGTCAATAGGATTTATTTCTTCAATTGTAAAAAAAAATAAAGAACAAACGCGCATATTCCTTTAAAAGAACATTTAAAACATGTGAACTCACCCAAACTACAAAGTCTTGTGATATTGTTGTAAATGTAGCTGTAGCACGTTTTGTTGGAACTTGAACAAAGATGGGCGCAGGACAAAAGACTGACTTGGTCAAACTCTACATTGATGGGCAGCATGGTCACGTTTGTGTCATCAACAGCTTTATACTGGGTAAATTGTATTGGGTTCATTGACTGGGCTTTAAAGCAAAAAAAATAATGTCTGAAATGGTGTGGTTGGATCGTAATGCACAAACTCGCTAATCTGCACGACTTGAGTTCGTGTCCGAGACTGTAGTCCTTAGACCACCGTTACCATACTATAGTTATCCATGTTTTAAAAAGTTCCTATTTAACATTTAGTTTGTTATTAGGGGACTACAATATAATTTATCACGCCGGGGTCACAGAAGCTGTAAACTTTTAAAACTGATCTGTCGTGATCACTGGCATGCTCATTTACTGAAGTGTAAAGGACGAGGTGTATACATATATATCTATATATATATCTATATCTATCTATATATATCTATATTTATATATACATAGAGAGAGAGAGAGAGAGAGAGAGAGAGAGAAAGAGAGAAAGTGAGAGTGAGAGAGAGAGAGTGTCTAACTTTCTAAAAATATTCATGTTTGTAAAGCTAAAATAATTTTTAGGTAGGTTTGATTTTGTCCTAAAAGTGCAAATAGTATTTGAGAGAACGTATGTGTTCTCCGCACATTAGCAATACCTGTGTTGACTAAGTTTGAGTATATAACCACGAAAATATATAACACATTAAAAACAAACACAACTAACCTTGTGTGATGATACACAGGACTACTATAAAGATCACGGCCCACATTGTGTAGCAGGGCCACAATCCTTACAAAACTTGTGCTGTACTGAGACTTGTAACTCTTACTTGTTTCTAAAATAGTTTTAGTTTCATAAATATATCCATCAAATCGTGCCATACGGTTGGTGCACTCTATACATTAACTTACTTTGCGGTTGGTGCACTACACAAATTAACGTACCGCGCCGTTAGTGCACTCCATAAATTAACGTGCCGTGCTGTTGGTGCACTCTATTAATTAACGTACTATGCGGTTATTGTACTCGATAAATTAACATACTATACTGCTGGTGCACTCGTTAAAGTAACGTAACGTATGGCCGGTGCACTCAATAGATTAACGTAACATACGGCCGGTGCACTTAATAGATTAACGTAACATACGGCTGGTGCACTCAATAGATTAACGTAACATACGACTGGTGCACTCAATAGATTAACGTAACATACCGCAGGTGCACTCAATAAATTAACGTAGCATAACGCTGATGCACTCAATAAATTAACGTAGCATAACGCTGATGCACTCAATAAATTAACGTAACATAACGCTGATGCACTCAATAAATTAACGTAACATAACGCTGATGCACTCAATAAATTAACGTAACATAACGCTTATGCACTCAATAAATTAACTTAACATAACGCTGATGCACTCAATAAATTAACGTAACATAACGCTGATGCACTCAATAAATTAACGTAACATAACGCTGATGCACTCAATAAATTAACGTAACATAACGCTGATGCACTCAATAAATTAACGTAGCATAACGCTGATGCACTCTTCACAAAACCGTCTAAATAAGAAGTAAAACGTCACACTAATCGTCTGAACTTTCTCCCAGTCTATGAAATTTAGTTGCCATATATTACAATTCTTTTTCTTTTGTCTAGATTTCTTCTTTTATGAAACGTCTGTAAGACAATCAATCATTATAGTAATGATTACTCTAAATAGATTACTGAATGCAAGTTATAAGCTGCAAATATGCTTATGCTTGTCGGGCTACAATCAATATACATTTGTGTTTGTTTAGCATGAAAAATGGCAATTGAAATTGAATATTGACTAAGTTGCCTAGCGATTCAATAATATGTAACTAAGTTCAATTGAGGCTTCATATTGAATGTATATATTTTTCAAAGAGTGTACTTTGTTGATTATTGGGTATTTAATCATTCAAAATGTTTGCTGCAAGGAATCATGAAATTTATAAAACCTAATCACGTGTGTGTGACAAAGCAAAAAAAAACCGACCCAAATAATGACCACTTAAACTGCATTGAGTCAATAGATTTGAACACAATGGCTGCTTGTTTCACGTGTGATTGATTTATTGTTCATGCCAAATAAAAGACATCTCAGGTTACAAGGTCAGGAAAAAGTAGTGTCCTGGTTATCCAATATTGAACTGTCATTTGCGTGCTCATGAAATATGTTGCTATAATAGAACAGTTGCATAGCCGGAAGTAAGACAGGAAAAAAAAGTGTTTTGTTCGTTTTTTTGTTGTTGTTTTTTCTAGGCTAGTTAATAAGCATATTATTTAATGAAAATAAATTGTATGCAAATAAAACACGTCCTGTTTAAACTTAAAGAGCGGTAACTCAGTTAAATCTTTAACAGCGATAGCCAAGTATAAGCTTAAAGAGCAGTAACTCAGTTTAACAGCTTTCAGTGGTAACTCAGTTTAAGAATTCCTAGTGCCACTTTAATTCATAGAAACAGTGTAAATCAAACTATTGCTTTCAACTTTTAAAAGATTTATCTTATTTATTCCACTTTATCTGTGAATTAGAACTTCTTTTCCAAGTAGATCATGATTTTTTATGCCGAAAAAATCCTGGACGTATAGCCGCTACCTAGATGATGTGTTGACAGTTTCTCAGATTTTGATGTCACTTTATAGTAATGTTACCCTGTAATGTTACCCTGTAAAAAATACTATTTTGCCTACTATTTTATCACAAAATAATCTTCAACAGTCATAGATTTACAAACGTATATTAGAAAATTTACCTTGATAAAGATTTGGCTTGGTCGTGATTTATCGCGACAATCAACAATTATTAACATACTAAAGATACAACTCTTACATCAGTAACCGGTATATAATTTTACCAGTGTCAGCCCACGCCCCTTCTAATAGAAAAAATAGTTTGAAAGAAACACTAGCTGTATGATTGAGGTTTAGCGGCAAAAAGTAGGGTGGAGGGTAGGGCAATACAAATTGTGGGAGTGAGGGATGGAATAAATTTTCCGGTGAGACGGGCGGGCACTGGTGAAAGTTTATTTTTTTAACTCTAAATGCGACTTTTGTCAAGTTTTAGCATAAGTGCCAAGTCTAGGCGTATGACTACGACTATGTTTAGTATGAATGTATAGTAACTACGTGTTGATTAAGATTAAATCCGATTAAAATGCCAATTCTGGATACAAATCCGTTTTCAATTATATTTTTCGTTTCCTGTTAAATTTGAAGTTGCTGTCGTGATTTTTATTTTGATTTCGGTTTAGAGAAAAACAAATACTATCAATTTAGAGCCCTCAACGGGCCATTTACCTAGTCTATAATAATAGTTTCGCTATTCTGTCAGTGAAAGACTTTGACGTCACATGGAACATATAGAATATTTTCAAAGGAAAACAAAATATTAAGCCTACTGTTCTAAAGCCAGAAAAGTACACACAATAATAAATACATAAAAACGTTTATAATAACAAGCTTTCATAATTGCACTAAAAAGAAGAAAATAATACAAATTTTATTAAACATAACATAATTTTAAAAATATAATAAATCTGCGGTTACTTTAAATATATAAAAAAATTACTTTCTTTAAATATAATAATGCACTACTATTTATATCACTATGAATAAAAGCTTGGGCCGCTTGTTTAAATACTTATTATTATAAATTAAAAATCAAATGCCGAAAAAAATACCACAACAATAATGACCTCATTGATACTTCATATTAAAGATAACCGTCTAATTTATTTGGCAAATCTAAAAGTGGTCTGTATGTAGAGTTTTTTATGCCCCCCCCCCCCCCCTCTCACTGTAGAACGTCTATTGCCTCTCACCTTTTTTAAAAAAAAATTAAATTTCAATAGAAAAATTATACTTTTACCAGTGTCAGCCCTACACCAAGGAGAATTTCCCATCTCTCCCAAAAAATAACAAATAATAGTTTCAAATGCACCCTCCTCCCCCCCGGAGAAAAAAATTAAAAATGTCTGAAAGAAATACTGTATGCATAATAGAGGTTTAGTGGCCAAAAGAAAGAATTATAGCCTATTTCATGACGTAGCAGGTAAATCATTAAGGTAGTTCAATTGTACCTGCATCAAATTCTGTCAATACTTCTATAATGATATCATACTACATGAACCTAACATTCTATTGAAAACAATTTTTGTTTTGTTCTTTAGATGCTGATTCTTTTATATCTTTTATTGGGTTAGCAGGTCTATCAAACCATCGTAAATCAAATACATGAGACTGTTTTGTCAAAAATCAATACTATTGATTATTGGCTATTGATCTCTTACACTAGCCCACCTCACGTTTTTCACATAACATCTCACAACTTGTCTGATCTTCAATGTCTGCTATCGATCAAAAATGCTTTGTTTAAAAGCTTCGACAAGTTTTCAGTAATACATTTTTACAATTTGACTTTCTGTAAAATATCTTGATAATTTTTCAAAACTTTTTCCAATTTTTGTTTCTCCATCTTTTATAATCGGGAAAAGTGAATTGGACCACAAAGACTTTTAATAAACAAGAACGTTTAAAATTGTCAGCCGAGTCGGACAAAGAAACAATATATTGCTAATTTTCTACTTTTGAGTACGACCTAAACAGATGGGTTTTGTTTTTGTTTGTTTCAAGCTGCCAAACTGTAATTCTAGAATCTTGGAAATGTTTAAGGTCTGAAACAGCAATGGGATGTTAAAGTAGGACCTTACTAACGACAGCTGCTGCTTTCTTGAACTGATGCATCATCCTTTGTTCTAGTGTTAGAACTATCCACTTTCACACACTTATTCAAACTATCAACCTTTGTACTAGTATTGAAACTATCAACTTTCACACATTTATTTAAACTATCAACTTTTGTACTAGTATTAAAACTATCAACTTTCACACACTTATTCAAACTATCAACCTTTGTACTAGTGTTAGAACTATCAACTTTCACACATTTATTTAAACTATCAACTTTTGTACTAGTATTAAAACTATCAACTTTCACACACTTATTCAAACTATCAACCTTTGTACTAGTGTTAGAACTATCAACTTTCACAAACTTATTCAAACTATCAACCTTTGTACTAGTATTGAAACTATCAACTTTCACACAGTTATTCAAACTATCAACCTTTGTACTAGATTTGAAACTATCAACTTTCACACACTTATTCAAACTATCAACCTTTGTACTAGTATTAATACTATTACATTTTACAGAACTATCAACCTTTGTACTAGTATTAAAACTATTAACTTTCACACACTTATTCAAACTATCATCCTTTGTACTAGTATTACAACTATCAATTTGTATAGTATTGGTTAAAATATGAACACATTTCTTATACTAATTGGTAAATAGATGTGAAAAAACCTGCTTTCTAGACATTATGTCGTAATGAAAGGTAAGACGTTTTATGCAGTTTTCTGATGTCTAAAGATACAAAGTACAAATAGCCATAGATGCGATGATACAAAGTGAAACCATCCATTATTGTCATGTTTAATGATAAAAGTACAAACATCCATTAATAAACAGTAAAAACAGCCAGTAATGTGATGTTTTATGACAAACAGTAAAAACACACTTTATTGTGTTGTTTAAGGATAAAACGTGCAAACATCCATAATTGTGATGTTTAATGATAAACATAAAAACAGCCATTAATGTGCTTTTTAAAGTTCATAACTACATATGGCCAGTATTGTGGTGTTTGATACATTTCATTTTATTTTAAATGATAACTATTGTGTGTTAAGTCGGGGATTGGACGAAATATAAAGATATGGTGGAGGCCCTATGTTTCATAAGGAGCAAAGAGGACTAAGTCAAGTCAAGTATTGTGTATGTAATTGTCAAGTGATTTGGCAAGTAATTTGCGATTATAGAATCCTAATGAATTAATAGTAAAAAAAAGACAATATTCAATCATAAAATGTGAGAATAAAGGTAGAATCGAATAAAAGATCCTGTTTCTATTTTAATATCGATTTACAGTGATAACATTATAATTCCGAAATACTAAAAATCAGAAAATGCATCAAACTTTTATAATACCTACTTACAAATACGGTAAGACTATGCAAACATGAACTTTTGTTTGTTATAATAGAAAACGCAAGGAACCACCATAATAAGTCTTTAACAAATATTTTATAAATATGATTAGTATGACAAGAAAGTTACATCTATAGAGGATCTAATTTTAACCCTTTTTTTACTACGCACTTTCTACTACGCTTGATGCTTATGTCTAGCTGAAACATCTGATACAATAAACTCCTACATAGTTGCTAACACTCAAAATTGGTGCTATGACTACATTTACTCTAATAGCAGGTGTTTAATTTCTAAGCAACTGTTCCCTCTACAATAAATACACATCAAGACAAATTAGCAACATGTACCATTACAATAGCCAATTCAATGCACGAAATGACACTGTATAATATTATTGCAATCCCTCATACACAGATTCAAGTTCGCCTGTAGCCCACACTTTATATTGAAATACTTTATGCATAGAAAACCACATTAGAGGAGTGTTAAATTGTAAGATATTTTACAAAGGTAAAGTAGGACAGCTAATTATTTCAATAATTTTGGACAGAAAAAAACTGAAAATGAAACATTGTCAGTAGCTTCCTTCTCATGTAAGTCAATGCTTTTAGCAAGTGGATAAAAAACAATAACTTTGTATCTGAACAATTCTTAGGATAGCGTCCATAGTTTCTCGATCCTGTCGAATGTTTAAGGTAATAATTTTTTCACTTTGTTTTACAATATGATTGAATTGTAAATGTATGGTCTTCGGAAGTTTCAACATAAAGATTGTAATGAAAATGTTTGTCACAAACTAGCTTAGGAGATAAGTGGGGCAAGATGCTTCTTTAAAGATGTACCTTTACAAGTGTTAGGTATCTCATATTAAGTTATCCTTTTAATTAAATTGTTTTTTCGTAAGTACAAAGTGTATTTGTTTATTTTATTTTAAAAAGCTATCCAGTTATTGTTTTTTTAGGCTACAAGATACTTATTAAATAAAGTTAACATATAGAGTACAGAATTAAATTTGCCTCCCAAAACAGTGTTCCTACCAGACTTTTTTCTCCGATGGGGGGAGGGCACTTGATATTTTCGGGCAGGGGGGGGGGCTAAACTTCTGGGCTGCGGACGCTGGTACAAGTATATATTTTCTATATAAATTCAATTTCGTTCGAGGGGGTGGGGGCGGGGGCCGAGGGGGGGGGGGTTCTCTGCATCCCCCAAAAGAGATACATGGAAGAAAATCTGCTCCCAAATTATCGCAAGTACATTTGAAAAGGGGTTGTCCATAAACGACATCACACTAGTAGTGGGAAGATGGGTTTGTAATGTTTGTGATGTTGTATGATGAGGGGGCCTTGACAAATGAAGGAATAATACGTTCAGCAATACGATCAACCGCCTTTACTTACCCTAACGTGACTTAGGTACCCATTGAAGCTGGGTTGACTCAAGGACGTTCAAAATCGAGAATTCCGTGTTAGCAGTCTAGCACTATTGATCAAAAATATCTAACGCTAAATTTTGGAAACGTAAATATTCGTTGATTACTGTTCAACTACACAATAATTGCCAGACTTTTTATTAATTAAAGAGTTTCTTGTTTGCTAAGTTGGTGTGCATCAATGGTTTTCTTGTGCTCATGATGTCTTTTCTCCCAGCCGACTATCCCACTTCTCCCGGACTATCCTACTTCTCCCGGACTATCCCACATCTCATGAATATATAATAACTTTCAAATTGTATATTCTGTCAGTCTCTATTTTCTATCCAGAGTGTTAAAAACTGTTTAAACATTGAGCAATAAAAGGTTATTATGGTTTAAAAAGGTTCGAGAGTATGCTACGAAAATAAAAGAGAGAAAAAACAACTTTGTTGATAGTTTTAACTGACGTCACACTCCCCACCAAGCTCTTCTATAAAATTGAATGAAAAAATGTATTAATGGTGGGTTTCAAAAAGCTGTTTTTAAAAGTATGATCGGACTTCACACAGATACTTGGTTTGAGTCCCACAGCTCCAATCATTGAATGGGGAGTAATAGGCATCGTATGCCACACAATCCTCGTTAAACGTATTATCAGGTTCTTCTGAAATTAAATGATGAATTATTGTTTAAAAAAAGATTAAATATCTCCGAAAAACCTAAAAAGATCAGTTAAGTGATCAAAATATAATAATGCTTTTTTTGGTCATTGGGTTCAATAATAGATAAAAGCTTATTAATCCAATTTTTTATAGAGAGATTTCTAGAGTAAAATGTATAAGTGACAATTCGCTTTGAAATTTTGATCACAGTAATAAAACTTTTTAGTTATGAAAAATTAATTCAGTAGCGGCCTTTGTAAGTTAAATTCACAATTTTGTTATCATGTGGTACCCTTAAAACAAATCTACAAATAAAAGAAATAGCTCGAACGATCATAGAGGGCAATTAAATTATATTTCAAAAAATCATTTTCGCAGTGCTATATTGTAAGCTTATCAATAACTTTTCGTATTACCATTATAAACCAGTTATTTTGTTATCTGATTTGGCAGATTCACAAAAAATTCTATACTAGTGCAGAATGTCTATAATTAAAACATATTTAGAAAATTAACTGTTAAGTTATATGACCAGAATTATATTAGTAACTTTAAAAAAAAAATATTGAGTTCAACAATGTATTTATTTGTTAAATTTTATTTTTTGCTGAGCTTCAGAAGTCAAAAATATTTTTTTTTAATTTTACGTCTAAATTTTCAAATTCGCGAGAAATATTTAGTTAATTTTAAACATTACCGTCCATAGTTTGGTTCGCAGCTTACCTAACGAATCAAAATGCATCTTATCGATAACTTAGGTGCTATAATGGTATATGAAACAAACAAATCATTAACTCACTATATGGAAAGAGAATTTTTCTATGTTCAGTGGTTAATATGGACTGGTCCAAGTCCCACACAAATTGGCCCTCTACTGCCTCGTCGGTTAGACCAATCCAGAGGTTTTGGCTGCCACCAATGTGCTCGATAATTGTTCTCTTCTCTATCGTATTTTGTGTCAGGGAATAGAGATTTGATCCCATGTCTGAATATAGTTATTTACACATATATAAAAATAAATAAATAAATATATATATATATATATATATATATATAAATATAAATAAATATATATATATATATATATATATATATATATATATATATATATATATATATATATATATATATATATATATATATATATATATATATGTATATATATTTATATATTTATATATTTATATATATATATATATTTATATATATATATATATATTTATATATATATATATATATATATATATATATATATATATATATATATATATATATATATATATATATATATATATATTATATATATATATATATATATATATATATATATATATATATATATATATATATATATATTTATATATATATATATATATATATATGCCTATATATAAATGATGAAGTTGGGTAATTTTTATGCCTTTAGGAATAAAAAGTTATTGTAAGACAAAACTTAAGTCGGATACAGTTTATTATTACTTTGAATCTACCTATATTGTAAACTAGACAACAAAGTAATCTATATTTTTTTCTGGTAAGTCATTACCAAGCAATTATATATATATATATATATATATATATATATATATATATATATATATATATATATATATATATATATGCTTATATTATTTCTAGGTGTTATTAAAACGAGTTTGAATTAAAATTCAATTAGAACTCTTGCCGTTACAGGCCGTACGTCCAGTATAGAAATCTGTAGCGACCGATGACTTGTACACACAGACACTGACGTTGTGTTGTGTGACTACGAAAAATTGGGCCGTCGTGTTACAGAAATATCCAGAGGAATGAAACGGTTGTTGGTCTGTTGCGTTCTCTAGTCCTAGCCGGGGTACCACCCAAGAACCTAAAGTAAAATAAATGAAAGCACAAATAATAGAGGAAAGGGGTTATCCATAAATGACGTCACTCTTTTTTTGACGATTTTTACCTCCCCCTCCCCTCCGTCACACGTCGTCACAAAAATCCAGACCCCCGCATAACATGACGTCACACCTCAGTCTACAACCCCCCCCCCCTCAAAATTGCAGTTGAATTTTTCTTTAAACATCGATATTTTTCCAAAGTCTTGTCTGAACTCTGTCAAAATAGAGGATTTTTAATCCATTCCTACTTAAAAAGTGTTCTAAAACGCGAAATGACGACTAAAATTCGTTTTCTAGCATTGCTTTTTTTAAAATGCAAAAGTGAGACGTCGCACGATCTGACCCACCCACCCCCCCCCCCCCCCCCTCTCCCCCTCATCACACACCGTCACAAAATTACGGATCCCCCATCCCCCTACGAGTGTGAAGTCATTTATGGACGACCCCTAATGTATGTTTTAAAATTATTATTGGTTTTGACATTTGTGTAGAGCAGGGGTCTCCAAAATTTTCAGTCCGAGGGCCGCATTAACAATCAAATTTCAAATTTCAGTTCGGGGGCCAGTTTCTTCCAGGCATGTCATTGATTTTTCTGGGCAAAGTTCCTCAGCCATCACCAACAAACGTTTTTTCCGTGGACAAAAACATCTCCGCGGGCCGGATGAGACGACATCGCGGGCCGCATCTATCCCGCGGGCCGTAGTTTGGAGACCCCTGGTGTATAGTATATTTGATTTGTTTGTTTTTTTTATTAAAAAGATAAATGCCATTAAGTCAGAATCTTTTGTGGATATTGTTACATAATCCTTAAATACTTTTTACTCATAATATAAGCTTATTCAATATCAAACTTCGTGCTAAAAAAATAAAATAAAAAAAAAATTCATAAAAAACGTTTTAATAACAAGCTTTTATGTAATGATGCACTAAAAAGTAGAAAATAAATTATAGACTACTATTTAAATAACTATAAAGAAAAGCGTGGGTCACTTTAGTATCTATTGGATACCTTTACTAATGTTAAGGAAGACACCCACGCTTTTCTTTATAGTTATTTAAATAGTAGTCTATAATTTATTTTCTACTTTTTAGTGCATCATTACATAAAAGCTTGTTATTAAAACGTTTTTTATGAATTTTTTTTCAGTACTTTACATGTTTTATCTACAATAGAGTTACATGACTAAAAACCATTGCGCGCCTACTGAATATCACGTTCAGTAGGCGCGTAATGGTTTTTGAACGCAGCCATTACGTGGTCGTGATGGCGCAGCTATTGATGACGCGTGTGGTGTGGTTGGCTAGACATGCCTACTAATTCGGTCCAAATTTTAATTAATTCGTAAAAAATCAATTAGGCATCCAATTAAGTCAAATTTAGTTTCAGATTGCATTGTCTTCATGTCTTGACCCACGTGCCAACTGTGAATCGTGTCGGTCAAGTAGAACTGTCCGAATTTTCACTCCTGCGTTTCCGTCTAGACTGACGACTGACGACTGACGACAGAGGAAGTGAGTTAAATAAAAGCTTGTAATAACATGCAGGCCTAATCGACTTAGGTTTGTTTCTAGAATATTGTTAATGTTATTGATTCTCGTACATGACTTTAAATTAAATATTTGAGTTGACTTGGAATACCTATAACCACATCCTGTCTCTGTATTTAGTTCTAATTGTTTAAGTCAGATACATTTGTATTTAAAACAGTTAAAGTTCTCTTCATATTGATGCATTTTTTTGTTTTAATTAATATTCTCTATTTAACTTTGAAAAAAAGTACATAAACGACTGTTATAAGAAGTTTACCTAAGTGACACTCCTGTATCGTCTTGTTGTACCTAAAGCTAAAGCACATGTAGGGGTAGGTGGAGCAGATTTTCCCACAAGTCAAAAGGCTCGCGGCATGAACTTTCATCCCCAGTGATGCCATAGATAAAGCATTGCTTGTCACTTTCTCGTAGTGTTTAGTTACAATATCGTAGAGTGAAACGGGTGCTAAATGAGAAAGTTTTTTGTGCTACAATAATATAATACTTATAACAAGGAAATATAAACAAAAGAAATAATTTATATTTACTAGACAACCCAGCTTCTCGCTGGAAAACAATATGTCGCCTACATTACATAACATCAACTAATAGTTGTACTTTGCGCTGTTTCCGTTTTCTCAAAATAAGCAATTGTAATTTATTTTTAACTTTTGAAAGCAAAATTCGAACACTTCAAACTTTTCACGTAGGTCAAGACTCAAAGACACTTTTTTTGACATAACATGTTACTTAATTTATTGATTATTTGGAAAATAAACAAGGTTTTTATAAAGTGCAAATGTTCTACATTATTATATACATGTTCTTTACAGTTCATTTGGTGCGCAATTAACTTGAAGGTGATTCTATTGTATTTAAAAATATATTTAAAAATTTACTTACCCATCACAAAGCATAGTATTACCATTCCAACAAGAACAATTTCAAAATATATTTGCATATGCATTTTTTCGTTTTACTTCTGCAATATTTTTGTCGCTCCCTTTTTATGAATCGAAGCGTAATATAAACTTCCTTTAACAGATTTTATTATACATAGGTATTTTTTTTTTTAAATATGGTAGTTATTGTTACGTTTTTTAAATCCAAAACCTGCCGAAGCTTATATCACTCATACCTTCGATGTATTTTTTCGATGTGCAAGTTTATGAATGTTTGTAGTTTCTTCAACTTATATTTAGAGCGTGACGTATAAATTATTTAAAACGCTGTTTACAACGATGAAGATTATTGGATTGTGGTACGTATATCTTTCAAAGATCTTAAAATATTTTTGGTCTCATAGTTAAATGGTTAAATTATTATTTATTAATCCATCTGTGAACACGTTTTCAGAAGGTTCAATACATTCATCGTAGTTTAGGCGAACATTAGGAGCGGGCTTAAAACAAAGACTGAACTACTTTGCCTATTTACTCTGCTATTTGATAATTAAAGTGTTTCGTGAAACTTGGCTAGAAAAGTAGGCGCACTTAGTCTAAAACTACATAGTAGTTTTTTCATGGTAAAATACACTAACGTAGTTCTAAACATAAACCCAGTGGCGTAGCGAGAACGGGTGTCACTCGGTTCGGCACTTAATGGTGTCAACCCCCCCCCCAGAGGCGTAGCGACCCTTCTCGGGAACAAACTTTCAAATTTTCGATTTGCATCCCTCTTCCTTCAAATTTTCGATTTGCAACCCCTCACACTTTCGATTTACACCCCCACCCCTCGAACTTTCGATTTACACACCCCTCAAGTTTTTCTCTATCTTTTTTGCCTTGGTGTCACCACCCCCCCCCCCCCCCTAAATGGTGTCACCCGGTGGGATCCACACCCCCGCCCCCCCCTCGCTACGCCTCTGCCTAACAATAACATTAAATCTAAACTTAACCTGTACTTAACCTAAACTTAACCTAAACTTAACCTAAACCTAAACCTAAACCTAAACCTAAACCTAAACCTAAACCTAAACCTAAACCTAAACCTAAACCTAAACCTAAACCTAAACCTAAACCTAAACCTAAACCTAAACCTAAACCTAAACCTAAACCTAAACCTAAACCTAAACCTAAACCTAAACCTAAACCTAAACCTAAACCTAAACCTAAACCTAAACCTAAACCTAAACCTAAACCTAAACCTAAACCTAAACCTAAACCTAAACCTAAACCTAAACCTAAACCTAAACCTAAACCTAAACCTAAACCTAAACCTAAACCTAAACCTAAACCTAAACCTAAACCTAAACCTAAACCTAAACCTAAACCTAAACCTAAACCTAAACCTAAACATAAACCTAAACCTAAACCTAAACCTAAACCTAAACCTAAACCTAAACCTAAACCTAAACCTAAACCTAAACCTAAACCTAAACCTAAACCTAAACCTAAACCTAAACCTAAACCTAAACCTAAACCTAATCCTAATCCTAATCCTAAACCTAAACCTAAACCTAAACCTAAACGTAAACGTAAACGTAAACGTAAACGTAAACGTAAACGTAAACGTAAACGTAAACGTAAACGTAAACGTTAACGTAAACGTAAACGTAAACGTAAACGTA